AGTCCTTAACCATCTTCAAGAAACGACTAAAAACACATCTGTTCCACCTTTATTTGACCCTCTAACTCTAACACTTTCTATTCTATTTTAATTCTAATTTATCTTCATTTTTTTTTATTTAAAAAACAAAAACACTAGCTTTCGATTTTTTTCTATTCTACAGGTGCATAATTTGAGTTGAATTACTGAAATAAATGAACTTTTCCACGACATTCTAATTTATTGAGATGCACCTGTATCTACTTGTTTTTCTTTGTGTGTATATATGTGTGTGTATAATATATATATACAGTATATATATATATACACCTTGCTACATGTACTGCATTAGGCTAACCGAGACTTGTCATTTGCACTTATATATTGTTGCTCTTTTGTTAGTTTTGACTGCTTTTATTGTCCTCATTTGTAAGTCGCTTTGGAAAAAAGCATCTGCTAAATTACTAAATGTAAATGTAAATGTTATATATAATTTTGCACTAGGGCTGTGCAATTAATCGCATGCGATTGTCATGCGCATCTCGGCAGTAAAGCCGGTTCTGTGATTAGTAGTAAATCTCCATCACCTGCTTTCAGATGGAGCGGCATTTAATACACCGAGCCGTAGATCACTGACAAGCTAGGCGTTCATAATCGAATGTGATTCATCTGCGATTATGAACGCGATATTGCCTAATTGTCAGTGAACTACGGCTCTGTGTAGTGAATGCCGCTCCATCTGAAAGCAGGTGATGGCGATTTACTACTAATCACGGAACCGGCTTTACTGACGAGATGCGCATTACAATCGCATGCTATTAATTGTACAGCCCTATTTTGCACAGTATAAATTGGGTCTTTATACATGGAAATATATACAGTAGCTGTCTTTTAAATTTTAGGATGTGCACAAGGGTGATTATATTTAGTGGCATCTGAACAATTTATAAAGCCTTGCTTTGTCACATTTATAGCCTGTCTTAGCATGTTAACATCAGTTTTCTATGCGTGCATAACAGTGTGCAGTTCCACATAAGCCGTTGCTTGTGTTTATACTGTCACCGTTTGTTTGTTGTTGTTATTTTTGTTGGTTGTTTGGTATTTCCGCTCCTTGCCAATCACAAAAGGCTTTCAGTGGATCTGTCATCGGATCTGCAGGGAGCATACAAGACTGAGAAAGAGCGAGGCAGACACGACAGGAGTGTTTTGGAAATGGTCCCAATACTTCAACCCAATGGGGAACAGATCCTGCTCTCAGTCGCCTTGGCGATTTAATTATTAAAAAAAACTTTTCACTCTTGAAATTCTTTAACCCCGTGTCATTTTTAACCCTAGGTTAACAAGGTAATCTTGTTGTAGGTTTCACACTATTAATATTTTACCCAGGATAAAGTATGAAGTTGTAAATACAACAAAGATCATTAAAATAAATGATCTTTCTACTTAAAAATGCAGTGTAATGCTTGCCGTTTCTTTGTATTTATTTGTGAAATTTATAGTAATGTTTTCAACACCAGTTTTTCTCTTCAGTGTATGAACATTGTGAAACATTGAAACCAAGATTAGTTTCCTGAAGATTAAAATGCAGTTTCATGCATGAAAATCCCAACTGTGAAATGTTGCTTAACCTGGAGTTTAAAGCTGTTAAAAGCCTAATCATGAATTACTAAACGAGGGTTAGCAAGTCAGTCTGGATCTCACAGCACTAAAGTCTCAGGGTTACAGTGACTGAGTGCGTCACATGTGGCATGCCATGCAGCGTTTCAAGGTTGTGCGTCTGCAGGACTTGTGAGGGTCTGAAGGGTTCGTATGCGCTGAATGTGTGTCCGCCTGAAGGACCTTTCACACACTGAGCCTCGTTCACCTCCACCGCTGAGAATAGAACTCAGGTTCGACTGGCCCGCTAGTTCAGGGCAGTTTGAGTAGTTCAGATTTTAAAGGGACAGTTCACCCAAAAATGAAAAGTCTGTCATTACCTCACCCTCATGTTGTTCCGAACCTGTATGAGTTCCTGCTCTTTCTTCCGCTGAACACAAATTAAGTATATTGAAGAATGTTGGTAACCAAACAGTTGACGGTAGCCATTGACTTCCATAGTAAAAAGTAAAAAATGGGAGAACTATCCCTTTAACTTTATTTTTAGATTTTGAATTGTATTATTGATTATTTTTATTATTTAAATTTCAGGTAAATTTGATTATTTGAATTTTATTAGTTTTGTTGTTTTAATTCTTTTTTTAATATATACAGCGGGTAAAATAAGTATTATAACACGGATAGTTCCGGTCCTTGATTCTGATTGGCTGAGCCACGTTCGAAGCTGTTGTAAATTACTCTACAAACACACACCTTTGTTTACGTTTGTCTGTTGCTCGGCAACCACTTTGTTGGACCCACAACTGTTTCTGAGGAACTACATTGTTTGGTGGAAGAATACTGTTTTTATTAATATCATTACACTTTATTTTATTTTTATGTTTTATTTTGTGAAACCTTACTACGTATATGGAATAACCGTTTTATAAAAGCAATAAGCCCCGTGAAGCCGTGGTTTACAGTGATTTTATAACAGCTAAGGGGGTTTTAGGCACTCCGCTTCCCCTCGTACCTAACAACGCCCCTTAGCTGTTATAAAATCACTGTAAACCACGGCTTCACGGGGCTTATTGCTTTATTGAACACATGGCGTCACCATTTTTCTCAGTAAATATATTTCTATAGGTGCTGTTGACATGAAATTTTCACCAGATGTCGGTAACAACCAAAGTAATCCATAAATACAAAGAAAACAAAACGAATAGAAATTAAGAAATTAAGTTATGTGTAATAAAATGGAATGACACAAGGAAAAACTACTGAAATGTATTTAATACTTTGTACAAAAGCCTTTGTTGGTAAAGACAGCTACAAGACGCCTCCTGTATGGAGAAACTATGCACAGAACTTAATTTCTGAACTTATTTGTTTTGTTTTCTTTGTATGTATAGATTACTTTGGTTGTTACCGACCTCTGGTGAAAATTTCATGTCAACAGCACCTTTAGAAATATATTTACTGAGAAAAATGGTAACGTGTTCAATACTTATTTTACCCGCTGTATCATTTTATTTCAGTTTTAGTTCATTTAGTATTTCAAGTTGAACTAAATTTTTACAAGGTCTAATATGTTTACATGAACTAACAATTAACCAATTTTTATAGCATTTATTAACTTTTTTGAATGTTACCTAATAAAAAATGTCATATTCGTGTTAGTTTACAGTAACTAATGTTAACGGATACAACATTTAATCTTAAAAGTGCATTAGTAGGTGTTGGGATTGACGGTGGTTCTCAAGTCCTGGGGGCCTCTGCACATTTTGCATGTCTCCCTTATTTAACACCCCTGATTGAGATCATCAGCTCGTTAGGAGAGAGATCCATGAACTAAACTAATGAGAAGATGATCTCAATCAGGTGTGTAAATAAGGGAGACATGCAAAATGTGCAGAGCAGGGGGCCCCCAGGACTAGAATTGAAAATCACCGATCTAAGGTCACAAAACCAGTCATAAGGGTCCATTTTTTGAAATTGAGATGTAGGCATCATCTGAAAGCTGAATAAATAATCTTTCCATTGATGTATGGTTTGTTAGGATAGGACAATATTTGGCCGAGATGCAACTATTTGAAAATCTGTAATCTGAGGGAGCAAAAAAATCTAAATATTGAGAAAATCATCTTTAAAGTTGTTCAAATTAAGTTCTTAGCGATGCATATTACTAATCAAAAACTAAGTTTTGATATATTTACGGTAGGAAATTTACAAAATATCTTCATGGAACATGATCTTTACTTACAATCCTAATGATTTTTGGCATAAAAGAAAAATGTATAATTTTGAACCATACAATGTATTGTTGGCTATTGCTACAAATATACCCCAGCGACTTAAGACTGCTTTTGTGCTCCAGGGTCACATATGTTCGATAGCTAACTAATATATTTAACACGTTAACAAATTAAACCTTATTGTAAATTGTTACCGTAAATATTAATATTTTCAATGAGCTTTTATTCAGGTTTAATTTTAGTTGGACTTAGTTGAGTTCGTTTAGTGTTTTCATCATTTTTATTGTATATTCGATTTATTATTATTTTAGTTTTAGCAAGTTTAGTACTTAAATGTATTTATTTCAGTTAGCTACCAAGGCAACATTTCTAATTTTCTTTTGAAGTCAAGAAGTTTTCAGATTCATTGCAACTACCAAAAATGATTATTAATAGTTTTAGTTTTAACACTAGTATTGAGTATATTATCTAAAGTTAAATCGGCTACACCAAGTGTTTCTGATCAGGTATTGCGAACAGAAACCCTTGAGGTCATTGTGAATGTCCGCTGGATTTTTGCTCACTTCTTTTATTACTGTCCTGCTAACGACCAGCAGCAGAATAAATCATGTTTGCATTATATTTAGAAAACTAAATGAAGTTGTATGCTATATCGGGCAGTGTTGCTCAGGCATTGTTCATATCTCAGGCCGTCAGGACCCTGAATAATTCAGCATTTGTGCTATTATTAGAGTTGCATCTGTGTGACCCTTTCAGATGTTATTTGATCCGGCCGTGGATTCACAGATAAGCTTCTCTGACCTGCTTCTGCAAGTCAATTGGATTTTTATGCATGAGTGATTTTCATTTTTTATCACAGCTGTTAGATTAATTCAGTATTTGCCATCGATGGTGCTGAAAATCCTGTGAATATGATTAATACGACAAATAATCATCCAGACATGCAGGAGGAGAAGCCTACGTAAATCTAACAGAAATATTCCACTTCAAAATCAAAAGAAAAAAATAAGATAAACAAAATGAAACTTTGTGTAGGATTATTTACAAGATTTGCTTTTTTCGTTTGTAACACTTTACAATAAAATTTAATTTGTTAACATTAGTTAGATTAGTTAAGTTAACATGAACTAACAATGAACAGTACATTAGTTAAGTTGATTAATTGATTAATAATACATCATTTAAAATCAAAAGTTGTTGTTGCTTACATTAGTTAATCTATGTAAACTAACATGAATGAACAGTTCTATATTTATTAACTAATAAAATACATAAACATATATTGTTGATAACAAATAAGACCCTATTGTAAACAGGTTTATTATAGTTAATTAAAACTAATACTAAAACTAAAACCATTTAAAAATGTTACTTGAAACAAAATAAATGTTAAGTAAAATAATTTAACATATATAAAAAAATCTTATTTGATTTCAGCTATATTTAGTTTAACTTGATATACTAAAATAACTAAAACAGAAATTAAATTAATAAAAACGGTGTAGACTTATTTAAAAAAAACTAATAAAAAATGACAAACAAAACTACTAAAACTTTGAGAAATGAAAATGCAAAATACAAATATAAAAAATTCTAAATATTAAATGAAACTTTAGCATTATTTCAATAAAAAAGCGTATAGTTTCTGGTTTATGTGAAGTATTACCTTTTTGCATTGTGCGTTACATTATTTGCATGTGAATTAAACACATAATTCTCATGCTTTTGCTTAATGTTAAATTGTTTAAAAAAAATAATGCCACAATGCAAAAAATCTCAATGATCTTAAAAAGCCTTAATTTCTTCATGCAAAAAAAAAAAAAAATATATATATATATATATACAGTGCACAGCATAAATGAGTACACCCCCTCTGAAACTTAACAAATTCAGCAAGTCTCAAGTCTCGAGTCTGCTTTATTGTCAATTCTTCCACATGTACAGCACATACACACAGAGAATTGAAATTGCGTTACTCTCAGACCCTTGGTGCATACAGATAACACTAACAGTAGAACATAAATACAGATAGATACAGATTTAAATATAAAATACAACTATACAATTATACAAATAAGGTAAAATGTAAAAAAATATATAAAGCAGCATAAGGCGCATGGCAGATAGAGTGCAAACCAGTGAAGTAAACAACAGTGCAGATATAATGATTGTAGTGCAAAAGAGCTTATTCAGACTGATTAAAGTGACAGTGTGTGTGTGTATTTGGGAGGGGGGAGTGGGAGAGTCCATCAGAGGATGGCATGTTTTTATTAAGAATATGTTTAATACATTTCAATTTTGCCATCTTTCTATGAATTATATTAGTGATCATTAAGAAAATACATATTTTATATTTAATCAGAGGGGGTGTACTCATTTATGCTGTGCACTGTATATATATATTTATAAATAATAAAAAAATTATATATTTTTTTTATAAATCTAAATATACTTTTTCCATTTTTTATGTCGTTTCTGGGTGAAATAAGAGCTAGACTTGTTCTTGACATGTTTTGTGAGGTCCATCTCTTATCTAGAAGACGTCTTTGCAGATTTTAAAATATCTCTGTGATGTGTTTGGCAGTGTTATATGATATGGTGTTGCTTTCTTTCTAATATTTCTCTCTTGTCGTTCCAGGTTTGGTTGTGAGTGTGTGTGTGTTTGCGTGTCGCGCTGGCGTGTATGAATGGATGTTGGCATGGGTGGCAGTGTTATATGATATGGTGTTGCTTTCTTTCTAATATTTCTCTCTTGTCGTTCCAGGTTTGGTTGTGAGTGTGTGTTTGTGTGTGTGTGTGTTTGCGTGTCGGGCCGGTGAGCCCCGTGCACTCTGGCGTGTATGAATGGATCAGGTTGGCATGGGGAACGCAGAACACCAGGGGGCGCTGACAAAGGGCGAAGTGCTGCCACGCCCCGCCTCCAGCCAATCAGAGGTGAGAATACTCCCTTCTGAACCCGCCCACAGCAGAGAACAGCCAATGAGATTGCACTGTTCCTTTCCAACTGAATTATTTCAAGAAAGTTTGAAGAAAATCCTGTCGTTATTTACTCATCCTTATGTTATTTTAAAACCGTATAACTTTATTTAGGAGCACAAAGATAATTTGTGATCATCTGGGTATGACTTGAGGGCAAGTAAATGATGACAGGACTGTTGCACCATATCAGTGGACAATCACTGTGTTGTTAAAGAATGCAGATGTAAAAACCGGTTTGTGAGGTTAGGCTGGCCTTCATTCATGCAGCAGGAAGAACAGAAGACCAGTGTTTGGGAAGCGTCTCAGTGTTTCCAGTCTACAGGAAGTCAAATTACCAGTGCATTACTCACAGATGAGATCAAGATGGCATGCTAGGAAGAACTCTAAAAGCTGTTTACCATTTTATCAGTGGAAAATGCTTGCCGTCGTGATCTAATTTCCGGGTTCAGTCATGGGTTCATTTTTCCCTCTGTGATCTTAGGATCAAATGTCTGTTGGAAGAAAGTTCCTTCCCTCGTCTGATGGTCTTAACTCCAAATGACTCCAATATTTTTTCCTTGATCTGTTTTCTTAAAATGGTGCTATAGAGTCCCACTATATTACATATAATATTTGTAATGTAATATTGTAACCTATAACGCTATAATATTACATATAATATTTTTTTAATTCATTTTTAGTTGTTTTTTTTTTTTAACACTTTGCATTTTCTTTTTAATTTATATTCTATTTATTTTGTAATTATTTTTTATTTTAGTTTGAGCTAATTTAGTGCATCAAGTTAAATGAAATGAGAAATGTTCCTTTTCAGCAACTAGCTGAAATAAAATAAGTAATAAAAATGTATGCATTTTATTTTTATTTCAGTTAACATTTATTTTATTTCAAGAAATAAAATTTTGTTTCCGTTAGTTATAATAATCCTGGCAGCCGGTGTGCATATCACTGGACAGCTCATATGAAATTAATTTTTAAAGCAAATTTGTGTCTTTAATATTTGTATTATGTAGTTACTGTTTTATAATGACAATAAGACACTTGCGAGTGTTATAATGTGACTATATATATATGAATGAATATTTTCATTTTATTTTTAATTTAATGATTTTGAAGATGCGTGGGATGATTTGAAGCTAATGCCAGACTTTTAAAATTAGACTGAGTCATTTTCTATTTCAGTGAGCTGTTATTATAGTTAGTATGATGATTATCATTCATCATTTTGCATGATGTTTCTTTGTTTTTATTTCCATGTGAGTTGCCCATTTACAGTAAAACCCATCATACATTTTAGTGTTTAATGAACATTCACATGAGCTGTTTGTGTCTGTATAAGGTCTACACAATTAATAGAAATAAAACTGAAATCGCAATATGGCTTGTGATTATTGTGATTTAAGAGGGCAAATTAATTTGTATCAAAGTGACTAAGTGCCGCTCAAACAGAAGACTAGTCTGTAGTTTTCAGTTGTTTAGCATGCTGGGACCTGATGAGTTGAACTCAACCCAGTGTTCCTGCTTTACTCGTGTTCGGACAATCATTCAGGACAAGGGTTTGTAGAAGTGTGAATAGAAACCTGTTCTGCTTTCTAAAGATTAGAGGGAGAGCTCGAGTGTTTCTCAGAAACCACAGTATGTGCTCGCGCCTGGACATGTTACAGCCTTAACACTGGGTGTGTCTGTTATCTATTAGAAGACATGGACTGCTGCATTTATTTGTTTCTGTGTGGAAATCCTCATGAATCAGAACTAATGTGTGATCTCTCTGTGTGTGCGCAGGGTTTTAAACAGGGTCGCTCGGTCTTGAACTCTCTGCTCTCGGGGGCGTTTGCAGGAGCCGTGGCCAAAACAGCCGTCGCCCCGCTGGACCGAACCAAGATTATCTTCCAAGGCAAGAACAAGAACTCTTGTAAACCTTCCCTGACTGACTTACAGATGCGCTGAAGTATTTAAACACTCAGGGGATCAGTTCATGTGATTCTCCTCACCTGTGGTTCTCTGCTAGCACACCTGTGTGAACTTAACAAGGATGCAAACTTGTCACCTTTGCACCCCAAATAGGTCATTTGTGTGATTTGTTTAGATCCAGTGAGTTTGGGTCACGTCTGACATAATGTTTTTCCAAATTTGTAATAAGAATCATTTATAAATCTGTTGTCAACAAAATAACAGCTTTTAGATCTCCCAGTGGATTCCTGCTAGAATAAAAGCACTAATAATAATAATAATATTGCAATAGTAATATTACTATTGTAATGTATTTTATTGTTTTGTTTAATTACTTAATACTATAAATATTTAAATTAAAACAATAACAATAATAAATTATTAGTATTATTAGTGTATAGTCATATTGAATGGTTAAAACATAACAAAAAGAGATTTAAAACATTTTTTTTTTAAATGTTTTAAACTCATATTGGGTCTAGGGTGATTTTTTGGGGGGGGGTGGTTTTCGTGACTTCACACTAAAATTGGGCGTAAATTTACAATTTAAAGCTGG